TTTGAATTTTTCAAAAGCTTTGGATTTATATCTCATTAGGTATACAGACCCAAATCTTGATTTATCATCAGTAAAGGTAATAAAATAGGAGTATCCTCCTCTAGCCTCTATAGACATTGGGTCACAAACATCAGAGTGAATGAGTTCTAATAACTCACTAGCCCTACGACTTTCAAGCCCTTTGGGCTAGTGACGAGTCATTTTCTCAGCTAGACAAGATTCACATAGTCCATAGGATTCCAAATCCATGGAATCTAGGTATCCATTTGCATGCATCCTAGACAATCTTGTTTCCTTTATGTGCCCTAGTCTACAATGCCAAAGATAAGATTGATTATATGTCCTAGGTCGTTTCACATTTACATTGAGCACTTCAGTTCCCATTTCCAAAACATATAAGACATTTATTAAAGAAACAGTACCAAAAACAATATCATTCAAAATGATCGAAAATGTGCCATCCCTAATAGTGAAAGAAAAACCATCTTGTTCTAAACAAGAAATAGAAATAATGTTTCTAGAAATGCTAGGAACATAAAGACAATTATTCAAATGCAATAAAAGGCTCGTAGGCAAAATGAGGTCGGTATCTCTAACAGCATGAGCAACAACTCTTGCTCCATTACCAACACGGAGGTCCACCTCGTTCTTCTCCAATCTTCTAGGGCTCCTAAGCACCTGCAACGAATTGCACATATGAGAACCACAACCGGTATCCAATACCCATGAAGTCGAATTAGCACAATAATAATTTATCTCAATCATGTAAATACCTGAGGCAGAATCATCACCATGCTTCTTATCCTTCACACTCTTCAGGTAGTCTGGACAATTCCTCTTCCAATGGCCTTTCTTGCCACAATGGAAGCACTCAGCATCGCTTTTGTCCTTGGATGCACTCTTATACTTCTTTTTGCCTTTCTTCTTCTTGGGTTTTCCTTTGGGTTTAAGAGAGTTGCCTTTTGCAGGGTCCTTGCCCTTACCCTTGGCCTTGCTAGGCCTACCAATCAGAAGAGCTTATGTCTTATCCTTCTTGATAGACACTTCAGCAGTTGTTAACATACTCAACAACTCAGGCAAGCTCACAAGCATCCCATGCATGTTAAAATTCATAATGAATTGATTGAAGGAAGGTGGAAGTGAGGTGAAGGCTAAGTCATTACTTAGCTCGGCATCCATCACGAAGCCTAGATTTCCTAGCTTCTCAATGAGCCCGATCATCTTAAGAACATGACTGCTCACAGATATGCTCTCAGACATCCTGCATGAGAACAATTCTCTAGAGGCCTCATACCTCTCATGCCTGCCTTTAATATCATACAACTCTTTAAGATGCAAGACAATAGAGGGAGCATCCATATGCTCATGCTGCTTTTGCAGTTCAGGCGACATGGATGCCAACATAATGCAGACTGCCAACACATTGTCATCCATATGCTGTTTATGAGCTTCGAAATCGAAACTCTCATAACCAGCTTCCCCTTCCTTAGGAGCTACGGGTAAATCAGCATCCAGAACATAAGCTATTTTTTCGGCCCTAAGAACAATTCTCAAGTTCCGATACCAGTCCATAAAGTTTGAACCGGTCAGTTTGTTCGTATTGAGTATAGAGCGCAGTGACAGTGGATTAGTCATACTAAAAACTGAAAAAAAAAAATGTAAAGATAAATTAATTAATATATTTTCGTGTAATAAGAACAATTTATTAAAGACTTTAAATAATATGCCCCTCCCACTATTTTATCCAAGTCAATGACCCTTAAATTTGACTTAGGATTATTCTACTTTTAGATTTTACCTTAGTGAGATTTTAAGAGTGCATCATTTATTTTAACCCTCGTCTGAGACCGCAAGATTAAATTAAATAATGGATTGATCTTTATCAACAGTATCTCATACCCTCTCTTAACATTAGGTTGACAACTCCTTGTCACTTAGTGGTGCATCTAATGCAACCAACCTAGCACTATTACCCTAAGCACATGAGCCCGACTGAGCCTGCAACTCATGCACTCAGTTAAGTACTAACCAGCACCCTAAGTGTCTAAAACTTCTAATACTTCTCTCACTCAACGAAACAGTGGGTCCCAACTGAGTTGTGGAGCACCACTATTTAGAGGAGGTTTGAGTGATAATGGTGGTGGGAGGTAATCATGCACTTAATAATTGATTCCTTTTAAGGGTTCCTTTTATTTAGGGTTTACTAAGTCTCATCAAACGCGTATGTATTAACCCTTGCGGTCTAGGGTAAGCTTTAATTCGAAATAGGGAGTCTTCAATTTACTGACTCTAAAGGCAGATCATCTCATGATTTCTTTTACTATGCATAGCTTCCCAAGTCCCGTAAATGTCATCCCAATTTTTCCGGTTTACAGATAACCTAATCCCTTACAGAGATTTGACGAATTGCTTCATCTTATCACCCTAGGCTTGTGTTCTTTCAGGACATGCCCAAAGGCATACCTATGAATCTCCATGTTTCAGGAAGACGAGGTATACAATCAAAACATGCTTTCTAGAACACAGTCTAGGTGAAAACTTCTGGTCTAAGGAAAGACATACCCAAATATTAAAAGACTGCTCTAATGATACCTTTTGTAAGATTTCCTCATAGAGTCTCTTTGTGGGTCTGTTCAGTGCGAGCTATACCCTTATAGGTCCACCCACGACTTTAGCTAAGACATCTCCATATCTGTAGCTCATGAGGTCTTTACCTTGTATCCGAATACAAGTAGATAAGTCGTGCTAGTCTTATCCGAGATTACTGATCCCCATTCTCAGTGTCTCTAGACTAAGAACATAAAATTAGGAATAAACATCTGGTATCCTTGATCCTCATGATCGTGATCTCATCACAGATACTGAGATACATATTCTATTCCAAGAAGTTTATCCAGTTACTCATATAATATATAAAACAATGATATTGAGACAAAATATGAAACAGGATAAAGAGTGCTTATGATTTATTTGCGACAATATAAAAAGGTACACAAATGTCCTAATCTAATCAAAAGATTATCTCTAGGACATCCATATACTAACATATATGTTATTTAGTTTGGACATTTTGCTTTTGAGAATGACTCGAATGCATATTGTGATAAGTTGTTGTTGTGATTCATGATTTTGTTTGAACGTTGAAATTGTGATTTTTGCTTTAACAACAGAATTTGAATATTTTGTGAAGTTAGTTCATGTTTGGCTTAGAAATGAAAAAATTAATAGACTAACAAGTCAAGGTCAAACCATTTATTTCTTTTTATAAATGTGTCACGTACTCAATCTAAACATCAATCCACAGGAGATGAATTCTACATCATCAATTCGGTACAATTTAAACTAGATGAGTTCTCTATCATATCCTCTCTCTCTTTTTAAAATTTCTTTTGCGTGACCTTGTTAAGAAAAGTTTGTTAAAAAAAATTAATATTACAAGAAAGCGATTTGTGTAATTAGTGAGAGGAATTTTATTTTATAACATTATCTTTTTTTTTTCAATTTATGGTGTGTTGTTTTTGGTCATAAATTATTTCTATAATTGTCATGTGGCTCCATCTTTGTCTGGCAAGATAATCTTCTTTATACTATCAACAAAATGTTTTAATTTATTATAGAAAAGTATTGTGAGTCACGTTATGTTATACAAATTCCTTTTTTTTCCCCTTTAAAATATAGTAGAAACGTCCCCAACAAACAATGGATCAAGAGGGCCTCTGGCCATACTTGAAGTCATTTTGTCCAAACATGACCTTTTAATTACCACTTCAAACTTCAAAACCAGGTCACCCTTAATAAACTACTTTGACATTGACTTTATTACAAAGAGTTTTAGCTTTAAACAACTTGCATCACCCAGGAAAAAAATATATTTTAAAGTACATAAATTTAGATTTTTTTAAAAGAGATAGATATAAAAAAATATAAATTCTATCGAAAAAAAATAATGACATAAAAATAAAAGTGCGAGTCTTATTTATTTATGTTTATATCTCTCTTTTGAAAGAATTTAAATTTATATACTTTAAAAAGATAGACACTGTTTCACCCATTTTATATTACAAAATGGCCGTTAAACTTCCACCTTTTATCTCACTGTCTCAATTAAATACTTGCCATAAGAATGCTATATCCTTAAATGTAGATACTTTAATTTCCTTTTCCCACCTTAAATAGTGACATTAATTTATCGGCGATGTTGAGATATTGAAACTTTGAAAATAATAAAATATAGTTGACCAGCGGCTCCTTTCTAGGAATTAAAAAGGTTTGACCTTGGTGCCAACTACTAGTAGGTACGAGAAATATTAAATAAATAATCATATCTTTAATAAAATTGATACCATTAAAAAGTTATATTATAATTATCAATATTTTATATCATAAAAAATTGAAGTTTAATAAATTTGATAAAAGATAATCAATATGCTTGGTTGGCAATTCAGATATTCCACAAGGAACATTCAACAATCGAGAATTTTTATTCGATGTTATCAAACTAAGAGTAAGGTTGAAGACCCCTTATCACCACCGTAAGATTACGATCAAACGTTCAAAATCGAACAACTATAAAACCCCAATGAAGAAAATCTCAAAATGCAACAATAAAACTCAAATGGGCTACAAAGCCTTCTCCGAAGCCATATCCACTGTGAGTATAGTATAAAAAAATGTATTTACACATTTTATTGAATTTAATGTCTTTTATTTATTATACACACGTATAAATACATGGATTTTATATTTTTTTTCTCTTCTTTTTATATAATTATATATATGGGATCCACATATTTTTATGTATATATAAGAGATAAAATTATCTCTATAACATAACAAATATCAAATCCTATTTTATTTACAAAAGAATATAAAATAATAAAATAAAAACAAAAAATATATAGAAAGAAAAGAAAATGGAACTATTCCAATTAACAAGATCGTTTGTCATTTTTGCTGCGCGAATAGAGGAACCAGGCCAGCTCAACCGGAACTGGACCGGATCAAACCAGATACGTTGTAGGATCCGACCCACCCGCGGGTTTGGTGTTTCTGTTGGCCCTGGTGACACCGCCGCCGCCTCCGCCGCCGTCAAAGTGGTGCAAACCCAAAAAAACGGTGTCTAACATGGCCGTCGTGTTGGGTATCAGCACGTCATCATCATCTTCTGAGGCCAAGTCGGGTTCGGTTTTCGGGTCCGGGTCATCGGGTTCCCTGACAGCTACCAAGGCGCCGTTCTTCTCCGGCGAAGCCGGTTTCAATTGGATGGGAGAAAATTGTGAACTTGACGGATTCACGTTTCCCTCATTGGATGATGACCCGGTTTGGTGGATATCGGGTAAACGGGTCGTGGATGGCTTGTTTCGGGTACTGCCGGCGAGAGAATTCCGGTGAGCTGGTTTGGCGTGCTTGTGGTCTCCGGTGTATGTCACCATGAACATGTTGGGTTCAGTTGTGCTTCTCTCAACCTGTTTTCTCGCAGCACATCCTTTGCAGCTGCTGCATCTGTAATAGTTCCTAGAAAATCATGAATTTCATGTTAGAGAGGAGCCAAATTCAAAAAACAAAATAAAAGTATATATATAATAATATTTGCGTGTTTTATATAAAAGTTTGATACTTAGAATGGAAGGGAAAATATGGGAAATTGAGAAAGTTTTAAATTTGGTATAAAGTATGTGTGTACCTTGGATGTGGAGACCCTTTGATAGGTTTTTGTCCATATTTTCGCCATGCCCAGAAATCTGATGAGACGTTATCTGCGGTCACATGGCATACCATTTTCTTCTGTTGGCTTTTTCTGTGGAAAAGAAATGTAAAATGTACTTTTTTTATGTAATAGGAATCTATATATGTAAAAAGTTTCATTTTTTTTTCTTTTGGATGTAATGAAATTGATTAAATTGTATTAAAGGAAAGTACTTTACCTTTTTCTTGACCTGGGTGTTTGTGGTTGTGTGTTTGGTAAAACAATAGAACTTGAACTTGCTTGGGGTACTTGAACTTGTAGTTCATTGTGCTGCTGCTGTTGTTGTTGTTCTGGGGGTTGGGGTTGCTGTGCTTTCGGTTGTGGCTGTGGTTGCTGTTGTTGGTGATGGAATCTTTCTAAACCAGTAGTGGAGCCTCCAATGGAGGGGTAATTTGGGGGAGGAACAGGCAGAGGATGGTGTTGTCCAATGAATCCTGCAAGGTTAGAAAAAGTTGAATTGGGATTGATGCTATTACCACTAGTGCTAGTGGTGCTTGTGGGGGTGGTGGGGTTGGAGTTCATTAACAATTGGTGTAGCTCTTGGAACTCATTGGTTCTAGGTTGCACAAGATTGGGAAAAGAAAATGAATCATTTTCTTGGCTAACAGTAAAATTAGCCAAGCAAGGATTAGTGTCTTGAATTATGGTGGTGCTGGTGGGGGATGGAATTTCGGTGATAGGAGCAAAGTTGGTTTTGTAGCTTCTTACAATTGCAAAGAGATCCCAATCCTCATGAGCCATTTGAAAGAGCCTTTGATTATTGGGTATGCCTAGAAATTATTCTCACAGAGATTCACAGTGTATTTTTTGTGCCCAATTGAAACAACTAGGCAGAGAGCAAAGACTCAGACAAAGGTTGAAAATAGACGCACAAAAGGACGGCGCTGACTTCTTGTGTGAACAAGAAAAACTTGTTTATATAGAGAGAAGAAGGAGCAAGCAAAGTGATGGTGGAGCACTGACCCACTTGGACAATTCTTAATAATTTATGCTAAAAAAATGGACTATTTTCATTCAGAAAACCAAAAAAACAAAAAGGAATAGAAAGATATTAGAGGACAGAAAGTGATATGAAATTAAGGAGTTTTTTAAGGGATTTCTCTCTCTCTAAAAAAGGCAAAATGAAATTCGATTGCCTTTTTCATTGACTTTGGCAAATTGTCAAAGGGGGACTCAACCAAACTTGATGATTCGGATGCTTACTCCAGGATGTGTTAGCCCCACACATGTTGGTTGCACCCAACTCGAGTTCTGATTGGTGACTGCGCGTGCTCGAGGAAACTTACATTTTTTTCTCAGCAGTGGTGCCCCTTGAAATTGTTGAACCAATGAACACTCTACTGTCACTTTGTCATGTTTCTGCATGGCAATATCTTACAGCTGGGGTCACACCACCCTGACACTCTCTGCTGTGTTTCAGTTTCAGTTTCTGTTTATAAATATAAAATCAATACATTTTGCAATTTTCTTATAGCTAATTAATATGAATATATATATATATATATATATATATATATATATATATAGGGGTTATCACTTCTCATGCAACAACAAAATTTCTCCTCTCCAGTTATTGAAACAAAATTATGTAGGTCCCGTTTCATTACAAGGAAAAAAAATACAAAAAAGCATTGCATGTTTCTCGATGAGTCAGCTGTAAAAAAACTTTTGATACTGTGACACAGGAGAACTATATTTCCGATATATATATATATATATATATATATATATATATATATATATATATATATATATAACTTTTTTAATCTTACATTAGCCAAAAAAAGAGAGGTTTACATCAAAGTTTGCATGCAAATGCTTAAGTTTTTAGGAGGGGTTTAGTGTGTGTCATTCAAAAGAACACAAGTTATGTCTTTTTAGTGATTTACACAGAGTACGACCGATCGTACTCTATGTAATTCTGAAAAGTTACTTTTTTTTCACTTTACACATTAACGATTTGACTGTGAAGAGAGAAAAAAAATAACTTTTCAGTTTTACACAAAGTACGACCGATCGTACTTTGTGTAAAACACCTAAAATAACTTGTGTCATTCAAAAGGATACTTTTTTTTTCCTTTTAAGAGTTGAATGACTTATAAGGTTGTGGGGTAATTTGACTTCAAACTATGTTATTTTCTTGTACAAATCATATAGTTGACCACTAATACTGGTATACTCTATGTATCACAAATTGATACTCAAAATTATGAATAGTACACATTAGCTCTTTAACTAAGTACACATGAGCAGTTTAGTACCATATGAAGTATTTTTAAATGAAATGTACGATTAAAGTTGTAATCATACAACATTTTAATACCTCATAAATTTCATTCTAGAATTTTTTTAAAAAAAAAATGTGTCCATTTTATTCTATTAACTTTTGTTGTGGATATTAATTTGTACAATGCCGTTGTTAATTCAATTATTGATATCACATGAGCATCATGTAATATTCATACACTAAGCCTATCGAATAAATAGATACATGCTTTTTGCATTAGTGATATAAGAATATGTTTTATCATTTCCTCAATCCATTAGGAATATATAAGGGGTTTTATGTTTATCATTTAACATAATATAACTTCACTTTCCTACACACACATTAAAGAGGTGGGGTCCACATGTTTTTCTTTCTATTTCATCATTTCACTTTCTCTCTCCATTTTGATGTGAGAGTTGGAAACAACACTTACATTATGTTACATAACACTAATAAAACCCATATATAAAAAAGACTATTAACCTAACCCAAAATATCTGTTACTGTGTAAAACAAATGTTTGACCATTTGTTTTGAGATAAATTGTTATATTTTTTTCTTCAATTAAAGTTATATAATAAGAAATACTCTTTTTTTTTTTAAAAAATATCATCACCCCCAATTTCATAAACTGGTTAGACGTCATCCTATTCTCGTTAGTATGAATTCTGTCATATTTTCTATTTTTCAAAAAAGTAATACGCTTGAAGTGCACGCGCAGTGTCCAGTGCGTGGCTAACATAAAATTCACAGCTTTTACACTGTACGTGCGAGTAGCTTCATGCCGCACCCCAACCCCCATCAGCTTAATCATCACCGTCCGATTCTTCCACGTGTTTCCGCGATGTTGTCTGCTCTTGTGGGTCCAACAAACACAGGATTATAAAGGAAATAAAACTTAAAAGCAAATTTCCTTATACACCCTTGACAAAGTTTTTTTTTTTTTTTTAACTCTTCTCTGAGCCGTCGATGAGGAAAGTGACAGAGAATCTGTAGTATGTGTATAACAAAGTTTTTTTAACACCATTGGATTCGGTAGTATGTGATTCTGTAAAAATATTTATTAAAAAAAAAGTTATTTTATATTTTATTTTTCAAATTTATTAAAGAGAATCTTTGCAACTTCAAGGGTTGGTCATATAATGGTGCTGATCACTTTGTTCAAAACTATGAATTGATTATAAAAAATTAATTTGTAGAAGAATATCAATTAATTTCGATCACCGCTCACATTAGTTGTCACAATAAAGGAATTACTAATCAGTGATTAAATATTCTCAAACTTTTATATAGTTGTCACAAGTTTTCACCATTATAATAAATTGATCAAATTATTGTTTAATAATGATTTTTCATATTATTAGAAAGCTTGATTTAATAACATTTATTAATAATGCACCAAAACTAACAAATATATATATATATATATATATAATTTCGAATTGACTGAATTGTTTGATGGATTTAAATATCGATGTGCAATGATTTGAATCCTTCTTGCCTGCCTGATCATATCATACCTCCTCAGAAAAATAACAAAATGTCCACTCCTTTTTAATACCTGTTGATTCTTAACATTTAAGGAAAAAAATTAAAGATATATAGTAATTTTTTTAATTAATTTGATCATTAAATTAAAAAGGGTAGAATTGATATATGTTCCACTTCACAATAATTACCATAATTTGATTTTTTTTTTTTTTTTATAAAACCATAATTACTTTTTTGAGTCAAATTGGCTCCTTTAATCCTCACAAGTTTCAATTCTTTGAGTCGATTATGACACTAATTCGAATCAGAATTTATTCACTCGCTTTTTTTTTTAAACATATATTTATAAGAATCGAATACAAATGTTCTCCCCACCAATGAAGCACGGACACGCACAGATTTGAAAAAAATGTGTGTCGGACACCGACACGTTTCGACACGCATCCGACACCGGACAATATTTTGGGACACGCGATCAACGCTCCGACACTCTTTTTCGACACATAGTCAATTTTTTTCGGCACACGGTCAACATTCTAACACGTTTTTTTTTAGGTCTAAATTTGACATGAAAAATTAACAAGGTACGAAAAATAACTCATGATTGTTTATATGACTTATTATGGGCTGTTATATGTATTAAATATAAATTATATTATATATATTAAAAATATCATTTAATATCAAAACGTGTCCTAACGTGTCAAAATATAACATTTTTTAGAATTAACGTGTCGAAGTGTCGTGTCCCCTGCAAATATCGGTGCATCATAGCTGTCCACCTAATTAGCCTGTATTGCCAACTGAATTACAATCATTGAATATTCTATCCCTTTTGTTAACATATGGAAGTGAAAAATTACATTCAAATTAAGATAAAAAAAACAGAAATAGCTCCGAATTCAATTTCATTTTCTAAGGACACTTCAACTGTATAAAGATTAAAGAGAGAATAAGAAGGAAGTGTTAATTTCTTTTGAAAAAAAATTTAGAAATTTTAGAATACTTTATTTTGAAAAAAAAGGAAGATCATTAAAAATACTTTTTTTTTGGGAGAAAAATTCCATAAACAAATGGAGCCAAATAATGTCTACCCTAAAAAAAGAATTAAAAATAAGCCAAATAAGGAAGGTCATTTAATTCAATTATCATCGTAACTTTTGGGCTTAACTATTCCATAATTATAATTATGATTATTATATCTTTATATTAAAACACCACTTAAAATGATTATCCAAAAAAATTAAGGAAAGCATATTTTTTTTATATAATTCAGTATCCGATTGTTAACTGAAACCAACTAATTCGGATTTAAACGGGGTATAATCAGTCTACCTAATCAAAAAATGACAAAGTTTTTTCAATCAAATATTTTACACGTGTATATTTTGAGTTCGAACTTAAAAGTCAAAACCATCGAATAAAAAAAATTATAATTTAAAAAATTAAGAAATTATTGAATATATAATTTGAAATTAATAAATGCCAAGAAATATTAGAGTGTGCATTAAATAATTTTTTTGATTTTGTGCCTTGCAGGAGTTTTGATAATCGAAATTATAATGACATATTTTATTTTTATTCTAAAATTTAGAATTACGTTTATTATAAATATATTTTAAGAATTAGAATTACATTAGTTACCATATAATTTTTTATCAAATATTATTTTTATCTGTTTCTATTTTCGTATATAAAAATTAATAAACTAATTCTCGAATGATGTGCATGGCACACCCTTAGGGATTTTTTTAATAAGCTCTCGGCCCATATTTTGTTGGCCCATATTTTGTTGGGTGCTCTATTTTCAATAAAGGAAAAGTTTTCTCCCATTTATATCCCTATCTTCTTCTTAAATTACCTCTCAATCCTTTTTTCTTTTTCTTTTTGGTCAAGGCTCACAAAGTTAAGGCCCATTATAAATGAGCTCCACCCATAGACAGCTTGGACATATCTTAAGGTACTATTTTCGCGTGGCTTT